ATGGAGTCTCTCAGAAGAGCAAGGAAGCATGGCCTTGCTGTGTTGGATATGGAGGACCTCACCATCTCTTCAGTTCCACAAAGGGGACTCACCTAGGGTGGGGTGCAGTGAAATCAGCTCCTGGGAGCCCCCAGTGTGGCCTTGGACTCCGCTGATCTCCCAGGGCAGGACCCACCAATGCCACACGAAAGGCCCCAGTGTGGAACCTGTGCGTAGCTGCGGCCCAGCCCCGGGGCGCTGGGACAGATGTCCACCATGGTGGAAGCTGGTTTGGAGCCTGCTTATTAGTCACTGCAGAGACCAGTGCTCAGGACATGAATTTAGTTCCCGAGGGGAGATCAATTTTCTGCCATCTGGTCCAACTCTTTTATATTAATTGGGCTGAAGGGCGATTTTCTCCCTAGTGACCCCAAGGCATTCATCAATGCTCCAGGGCCGTGTGCGTGTGCCCGAGGCTGGCTGGCCCCTCATCTCTGAGCAGTGTGAGACCGGGGACACGGCAGGTGCATGCCTGTGATCCCAGCCGCCCAGGAGGCCCAGAGAGGAGGATACACACTTAAGGCCAGCTGGGCAGCTTAGAGAATCATTTATCAACATAAAATAAAAACAGATTTGGGCATAGCTCCGTGGAAGCGAGGTCGGCGAGGATGGGCCAGGCTCTGGGCTGCATCCGCAACACTGCAACCTTCCCCCACAAAACCAAATGACACCCCAAAAACACAGGCACGGACAGACAGACAAGACAGACAGACAGACAGACACACACACACACACACACACTGGTTTAGTAAGAAGGCAGAGGCGAGCAGCAGGTGTTGGAGGCTCAGGCAGGCACATGTGCATTTTTGTTGAGAAAGCGTTTTCCTTGGACGAGCTGGCGAGCCCAGGCTGGCGTGGGACGGGGCGTAGGAGTTTTCTGGTCTCCTGCTCACTCGCTTTTCCTCCAAGTCACATCACAGTTTTCCCAGATGCCATCCAGCTCCCTCACGCCTGCAGGGTGATCCTCAACCTGTCTGTTTTTAGCATCCACCATCCGGCCATTTCACAGGGAGGTGCGGCCCTGTGGAGGGGCACGGGCGGGATTCCATGGACGCTGGGTGTCCCCTCTGAGTGGGGAGCCGTTTTGGTCCCTTCTGTCGTGTGGGAAGCCCCCATTGGGAGCACTGTGGCTCCCACCCACCCATCCTCTTCCCAGGTCTCCATCCACAGAGGGGTGGAGAGGAAGAGGCGGTCCGCAGAGCGGCCAAGACCCTGTGTCTTGAGTTCTGTTCTGTCCCCTGATGGATGGGGACTCTGAGTCTTGGAGGGAGGCCTGTCCCGGGGACGTGTCTGCTCCTCAGGGAAGGCTACTGCCCTGGCCCGGCACAGCTCAGCTAGCACCTCTGGCCTTATGGACGGACAGATGGATGTGGCCCATTGCTGACTCCTGCAGCCCAGCCCAGACCCTCCCCCGGAGGGAAATCATCCCATGAGCCTCAGTGGTGTATGGGGAGCCATGTGCCTTATTAATATTTAATTAAACTAGGCTGCGTCTCATTTCCCTCTGGGCCCCACGGGGGGTCTCCTGAGAGCCTGGGCAGCTCTGGATGCTTCTGGAAGAAGACCTCACGCTCCCCATGGGTTGTAATGACGAGGGTGATTTCTCTTTCCGGTCTCCCGAGGCCTGGGTGGTTCTGCGCCTCTGGAGACGCAGAGCCCCGGGGATTCCTGTCCCCCGGCCGCACAGCGAGAACCGCGCGCCCGTGCTGCGCCCAGCCGTCCCGGGACGGGAGTGTTCGGTGAAACGCTCGCACTCTCTCTGCTTTTGCGTCTTCACTTGTGAGATGGGGAGGATGAGGACGGGGCCCCAGCAGCGCCGGAGCGCGGAGGCCGGGCGGGTGAGCCCGCGACACGGCGCCCGCCCATTCCTGTCCACGCTGCTCCCAGGCTGTGAGCCGAGACCCCGAGGCCTCCCTGGCTGTGGCCGTCAGTCCTGTCAGCCGCCTCCACTCACAGAGCGGACCGGAGCGGGAGGGTTTGTATCCATGCGGCCAGACGCCAAACCTGGACGGCCCGACCCAACCAGGGGCCTCGTGCAGCCTGCCACCCACCTCGTGGGGGTGCGGGTAGGGCTGCCCGGCCGTCCGGCTTCTCCAGCCCTTTCTAGTGAGTTCCTTACTGCAGCCCCCAGCAAGGCCGGCCCCAGTCTGCCTGCTCGGGACCTCCATCAGGCCCCCACACAGACGGGATGGAGTGAATGCCTGCGCAGAGGGAGGCCCCAGGCGGCCCCCGCCTGCTGATCTGCCTTACTTGGCGAATGCCGCCTGCATTTCTTCCTTTCCCCCAGCAGCTCAGGTGCTTGTTACAGACACACACTGTGCTGTGCCCAGCCCTGGGTCCCTACGCCCCGAGGGACAGGTGCTGTGAGCTGCGGGGGCAGGTGGATGCCGAAGGGTGGGTCTCGGGCTGCCCCGGAGGTGGGTGAGGATGCGCGCTGGATGTGGGCAGGAGAGGGAAGCTGGAGACGGGGGGCGTCGGTGAGGCCCCCGTGCAGAGTGAGGGGCGGCTGGCTGGGGCCCCCAGGAGGGAAGGGGGGGAAGGAGCCTTGCTGCCTGGTCACCCACACCAAGCAACCCAGTCCGCACCAGCAGGACTTCTAGAGAGGCAGCCCAGGATACCAGCGTCTAACCCCAGCAGGGCCTCACGCCCGCTTAGAGGCTGAGATCTGAGGAGGCTGGAGGCCAAGCCTGAGTCCGGATCACTGGGGCTCCGTGGGTTCTGATTTCACCTAGGACAGGACAAGGAAAACCGACTTTGAGACTCTTGCCAGCAGCCGTGCCCCGGCTCCTCAGATCTCCCCCGACATAAAATATAAATCAATAGGTTAAGAACACGCTTGTCTCCCGCTCATCCGGGCCCCGTCACTCTGCCTGCCTTTCTGTCTTTGGAGAATCGGCTCTGACTTTGGCAGGCCTTGAGCTGGTGAGAAAAAAAATCGCTTTGTTCCCGAGCGAGGCAGAGCAGATCTCCCCTCGAATGACAGGGCCTCACTTTTTTTCCTTTAATCATCTCTGCCTTTCACGCTGTCCCGTCTCTGCTGACACCCTCCCCTCCTCTCTCCCTTCTTCTAATCGCCGGGGGAAGACACACTTGATCAGCCGGCCTGATGCCCCCGGGGCCAGGCGCCCAGGAATCCAGCTCTCATAGGGGGAGGAGCCAGAGTGGCGGAGATGGCCGGTGTGGTGACCCAAATTAACCAGGCTACGGGCCACACCGCGGGCCCCAAGGGCGTCCCCGTCCCCCCCGGGTTTCCATGGCAACCGGCCCGGGAGGCGCTGCTAATGGGGACTGGTGGTGGGCAAAATGAAATTTGATGTACAGGAGAATGCAGCGGCCAGTGTAGTAATTGGGGATCAATCTCTTCTTCCCACGGGGCGTCGCATCCTCACTTCCGTGTTGGTTTTGTGTGTGCGTGTGTGTGTGTGTGTATTCACGCACTGGTTTTGAAAAACCTTGGAGTGTTCTTAAACACATCTATTTTCATTTTCTAAACTGCTGCCTTTTCTGCCCCGCTTTGTTCTTCAGGGGGCCGGTGCGTGGTGAATGGTTTAACCACAGAATAAAAGCGTGTGCGCGGTCAGTGATTTATGGGCCGCCTCGGGCTGTGTCCGCCGCCTGCCTCTCCCTCTGCTCCCTCAGCTGCCCGCTCCCCGTCCGCCGCCCTGTGGCCCGGGCAGTCAGGACGGCCTGGCCGCAGAGCAGCTGTTTGCAGGGGGCCCACCTCGGGGCACGCCTGGTGCGCGGCCCTGGCAGCCGAGCCTCAGCCTCTCTGCCCCTTTGGCCGCGGTTTGATTGTCTAGGGCAGGTGTTGAACGATTCCCCTCCTGTCTCAGGCCTGTGGATGGTGTGGGGAGGTCCCGGAGCGAGGAGGATTCCGTCTGGGGCTCTTGAGTTCTTTCTCCCTACCAAATCACTGTGGGGCATGCGAAGGGGGAGTACACCAGGGAAACGGAGGCAAGCCTCTCAGCTACTGGGGGGTTGGTACAAATCCCCAGCCAAGAGCCATCCTAGGCTGTGTAAGGTCTTTTCCAGAGGAGAGGAGAAAAGAAGGAGGAAGGAGAAGGAGAGGAAGGAGAGGAGAGGAAGAGGAGGAGGAACAAAAGGAAGAGGAGGGAAAGGAGGAGGAGGAGGAGGAGGAGGAGGAAGAAGAAGAAGGAGGAGGAAGAAGAAGAAGACCATGAGGAAGAGGAGGAGGAGGACAGGTTTCTCTGTAAAAAAAAAAAAAGAGAGAGAGAGAAGAGAGAAAGAGAGAGAAAGAGAGAGAGAAAAATGGAGCCTGGAAATCCGTAGCTCTGCTGTAGGCTCATGGAGTCCTTCTTTGGGGCCTGAGCTCAGGGCCTGGTCCCTATCCCTGAGCTTCTTTTGCTCAAGGCTGGGACTCTACCACTCGCTAGTTCTCTTTTTCTGTGTGTGTGTGTGTGTGTGTGTGTGTGTGCGCTGGTTGGTTGGTGATAAGAGTCTCACACACTTTCCTGCCTGGGCTGGCTTTGAATGGTAGCTGGGCTGACAGGTGTGAGGCCCGGCGGGCTCGGGGAGGGTCCGTCTGCCATCGTCCTCCAGGCTGCGTCTCCGCTGTTCGGGTGTTTGGTTGGGGCACTGTTGGGCTTGGCTGGAGCGGATGGGGTGCCTGCCTCCTGTCCCCGTCTGCGCCCGGCTCGTCAACGCTTATGTTTCCCCCACGTCCTCAGGAAGAGGAGAGGGTGTCACCTCCATGTTGGGGGTCCCTGTCTCTCTTTATTTGCCTACACTCTCCCCTTTGCCTTTCTTTCCCTTGCCAGGGGCAAGTATTCAGAGCAGAAACGAGCCCCGCGCCTAAAGTCTACGGCACAAAGGCCCTGGGTCACTTACCCTTGGGAGCCCCCTCCCCAAGAGCTCCCCCCAGTGCTGGGGTGGGGGAGGGGGAGCGTGCCTAAGAACCTTGAAACCCACTCATGTCCTTTTCCTTTCTGTTCACACCACAGGTGATCTTGATCCTGACGAAGTACTACCACGCAGACATGGGGAAGGTTCTGGAAAGTTCTCTGTGGCGGTAAGTCAGCCCAGGGATGGGCCTTTCTCCTCTTGAGCTGCACAGCATCTCCTGGGTGCTTGGCTGAGGAAGGCGACGAAATGCCCAGCTCTGGCTGCCCTAGGCATCGGTGGCCCGACACACACAGGGCCCTGGGAAGCCAATGGGGGTTTTGTCTGTGGACGGTTGGCTCCCTGGGGCTCCGGCCTCTCTCCCTGCTGTCCCCGACTTGCTTTTGTTTGCTTGGGGAATTCAGGTCAGTGCAATTTCTCTTTGCTGCACCCGCGGCTCCCACAGGCCCGAGCCCAGCCTCGCGGGGGAGGGGCGGGCTCCTTTCCGCCCCGCTTTAGAGCTGAGAATAAACGCCTCCTGCCCGGGGCGGGATGTCTCTTTCTAAGAGCACTGTGAATTCAGCTCGGGGACATCAGAGCGCCCTTTGATGCCTTAGAGGAGAGGAGAGAGAAGACTTCAGACATGTCACCTCTGTCCTGTCCCCTCAGGGGTGATGCTCTCCCCCTCCGTCCTGTCCTGTCCTGTCACCTCAGGGGTGACGCTCTCCCCCTCCGTCCTGTCCTGTCACCTCAGGGGTGACGCTCTCCCCCTCTGTCCTGTCCTGTCCCCTCAGGGGTGACGCTCTCCCCGCTGTGTTGTGAGGCTTTGCTCCCGTGAGGGTTCTGCCGCGCTGAGTGGCTGTGTTTCCAGCCAGCAGTAATGAGTTCCTTCTTCATTCCCTGCTGTATCTGGGGAAATGCCTGCCCACCGGGGTTTGTGTGACGTGACCACTCGGGAGGGGCGGCAGCCCGTCCGGTGTGTTCCTGTGGGGGTGGTGACATGTCTGGGGGGGGCGGTGGAGGCGGTGCCGGGCGGGGAGGGGTGGGTGCGGCTTTGCTGGGGGAGGGGTGGGTGCGGCTTTGCTGGGGGAGGGGTGGGTGCAGCTTTGCTGGGGGAGGGGTGGGTGCGGCTTTGCTGTCTCAGGCCTGGCACCCCCGGAGCCAGCTGGCCTGGTCATGGCTAAGGCCACTTGTCACCAGTAAGTCCTCACCGGCACCCGGCTGGGTCTCGGCCTCTGTGAACTCACCAGCCTTTCTCCAATTCCATCGCACTGCCGGGAAAGGGCTCGGCCCGGGGTGCCCTTCTGCAGGGAAGACAGGCTTTCCCGAGTGACCCCGTCTCTCAGGCTGGAGGCTAGCTCCCAGAGGGACTGGCATGGGGCATCGGGTGGGAGGACAGAAGCAGGGCCGGTGCTCATCCCCTGTGCGGGCGTGTGGGTCCTCTGGGGAGGTGAGGATGGGTTGAGGGCGGCAGCTCCTGGGCAGGGGGCGGGGGGGGGGGGTGTGTGCCTTGGGTGTTCTGTAGGTGGCCCGCGGGCTGCAGAGTGGACAGAAGTAGTCAGGTCTCCCACCCACAGACCCCTCCCTCGGCGACCTTGCTCGTCTGCCTCGTGTGGGTTGACAAGACCGAAAGCACTCGGTCCCATGCCCCTACCCCAGAAGGTTCCAGATCGCGTTCTCCTCCACTGCTGCAGCCGGAGGCAGGTGCTGGGGTCCGGGGCCCCTGTGTGCTGTGGCTTTGGTTCCCTCTTGGGTGTGTGGGGACTTGGCAGGGACAGCTCCCTGCCTGGGGCTGGTCTTCCTGATTGTCAGGCTTCCAGTAGAACTTTCCAGAAGCATCTGGAGAAGCCCACAGGCCAAACCACGCACTCCCCCCCCCCCCAGTTACTCCGCAGAGGGGCAGACAAGAGGGAGGACCGTCCCTGCTCTGTGCGGCGGGGCACAGGGGCCTGGACAGCGTCTCAATTTGGTTTTTCCCCAAAGCGAAGCAGCGGCTCTTAATTTCCCATGTTCCTTTCTCGTTGGCGTCTCCCACGCACACGCAGGCTGGTCTTCATTAAACATGCGGAAGCATCCCTCTTTTCCAGAACGCTCCCCCGTGCCCCACCTCCAGCCCAGGCGCGCTCTCTGGTTACGCCGTCTTTCGTGCCATGCTTGCTCGGCCGCCGTGTGCTCCTTTCCCCGCGTGGTCACCGGGCCTGGCCTGTGTCTTTCACGGCCACGGGGCTGGGCCAGCTGGTTGCAGCTTCTTCTCAGCCATGGCCGCTCCGAGCCTGCAGCACTCTGGTTCGTTGTATTCCCCGCACTGGGCTGGCCGGGGCGGGGTCACTGAGCCCGGGGGCTCTGGACTTAACATCTCTCTAAAACTTGCCAACTTGCTGTTCTGGTTCGCCTCCCCTTGAGTCCTGCCGAGGCTGAACCGTGCCCTGCGCTTAAGGACTGACCGCCGCCTTTGCTTCTGAGAAGTGGAGTCTGTTCTTGCCCCCACTCCCTGTGTGTGGGGACGTGGTGGGGTCGGGAGAGCACGCACTCACGGGGTTGTTAAAGACACACTTACTGGCTGCGCACCCAGCCTCTCGTGCCTCTCGAGAGCTCTCCTGCAGAATCAATGCACACGCTCTGAGGGCAGGTCTGGCTATTTGCATTCCAGAACTGTCTCTGGCAGATCTCGGCTGAAAGCATCTTTAATTGCCCTGCGCTGACAGGGGCCTCCGTGTGAGTAGCAGCTTCCTCCCGGCTTCCACCAGTGAGCCTTAGGCCCACCCTCCACCCCCGTTCCTGGGAATCCTCTGCCCCATCTCAGGCCCCTTGGAGCCTATGGAAGCCGGCAGGAAGGAAGGGCCGGAGGCTCCGGCCTGGAAAGCCTCTGGATGGATCCAGAGGGTTGAAGGTCCCTTTTCCTCTCCTGTCAGGCAGTGGTACCTAGACCCGCCCTCCTTACCGAACAGAGCTGGCTTGGGAGCCGCCGATCTGACTTGCAGCTGTCAGTGTGAGCGGCCAGTGCTGTGGCTGTTGCAATCGGCAGCTTCAGACTGGAGAGCTTGAAGCACAGGAAGCGCTTCCTCACCATCTGGAGTTCAGAGGCCCAAACCTGGTGTCACAGGGCGCTTCCTTTGAAGGCCCTGCAGCTCCCATGTGCCCTCCTCCCCGCCTGCCCTCCTCCCCGCCTGCCCTCCTCCCCGCCTGCCCTCCTCCCCGCCTGCCCTCCTCCCCGCCTGCCCTCCTCCCCGTGTTCCCTCCTCTCCGCGTCTTCCAAAGCACCTGACCTGACCCCAGGCTTTGGGGCCCAGCTGCATAACCCACGATGATGTCATCGTGGATTCTTCATCCCACCCACCGGGCGCCCTTTTCAAACCAGGCCCCATCTTAGGGGTGGGGCTCAGTGTGGCCATCAATTCTAGGAGCCAGGGTTCGCTCCCCAGAGTCTTCCGCTAACTCAGGAGTTGCACTCTGGATGCACTTGCCTGAGGGGCCCTTGATGCCCGGTCGCTCTGTCCCTCAGCCACCCTCCCCTCGTGTCTTCCTCCAGAGCTCCAGCCCAGCGTCTCTCCCCACCCCCGGCTCCCCTCCCCGGCTCCCCACCTCCTATCCTATCCTGTCTCCCCGCATGGCCCGGAGTCTTGAGAGGCACACACATCCCGCCTGCTTTCTCCTCCTCAGTTGTTCTCAGGGGCTGCCCTGCCCACCCTGGCCTCCTGACTGAATCCACTGCTGTCTGCCAGGCAGAGGCTGGAAAGTTGTTGTGGCATTTATGCCTTCTCCAAAACAGAGCCACGGTTACTGTGAACTAAGGAGACGCAGTGTTTGGAACACAGAAATGATGAGCAAATACTCCTCAAATGCCACCCCGAAGGAGCATTGCTAGGGCCAGCGCCTCTCTCAGTGACCAGGGCAGCGGAAGAGGGTCCCAGGACTCTCTGTTCTAAATCTGGGACTACCCCTAGGGAAGATTGGTCCCCTGGACACAGCGATGACCTCAGGCATCCCCAGGATCTAAGTTCCCCCACCGTGTTTTCATGATGGTCCGTTCCTCTTCCGCATTTTTAGATATCGATTCCCTACCTCGCTCCCACAATCTGTTGAACTGCAGCTGGTGTGTCCATGCTTTGTATTGGGAAGGAAAAACACCTTTCACCCCTCGGCAACCTCTGCTGGCCACCTGGGGGCGCTGTTGTTCCCAGTGAAAAGGCCCGGCCTAGCCAGCTCCGGAGGCTCTGATGCAGCCCCTCATGGTATTTCTGCGCCACCTGGGAGCCCTAGCAAGGCCAGGAGGCCAGTTAGCAGAACCTGGACCAAGCTGAGCTGTCTAGGAGAGGCCTGTGCTTGTGTTAGCGGGCTGCCTGGTGTGTGTGTGTGGCAGGTCCTGGCCCCCAGCCCAGATTCAATCTCAGATACAGCTCTTTTCCCAAAGCAGCTCCCCTGCGTACTCAGTGCCCAGGAGCCCCAGCGTGCTTTGGCACATCACCCACTGAAGTGCGGGTGTTGTTTATGGACCGTCCCCCACCTTTGCCTACCATTGGTAGAACATGAGTCAGTTGGGAATGGAAATTGTCAAATCACAGGATGCCTAGAACCAAGCAATGAGTATTGAATGGACAGATGGATGGATGGGTGGATGGATGGATAGATAGATGGGTGGATGGGCAGATGGACAGATGGGTAGATGAATAAGAAAATAGATGCATGGATGGATGGATGATGGACAGTTGTGTAGGATGGATGGATGCACGGCGAGACGGATGGATGAATAAATGGATGAATGGATAGATGGATGATGGATGGATGGATGGATAGCTAGATGGATGGACAAATGGATGGATGGATGGATGGTGGACAGTTGGTTAGATGAATGGGATGGATGGGTGGATGAATGGATGAATACATGGATGGATGATGGATGAGTGGACAGATGATGGATGGTTGGGTAAATGAATGGGATCCATGGGTGGGTGGATGGATAGATGGACGAGTAAATGTATGGATGGCTGGGTAGAGAGGTGGATGGATGGACGGATGAACTTCAGCAGCAATGCTTTGTCGCTGCTCAAGACTGTTCTTGAGCCAGGTGCAGTGGTTTACCTCTGTGATCCAGCTACTCAGGAGTCTGAGATGGGGGAGATGGGGGTTTAAGGCCTACCTAGGCAAAGCATTCCATGAGATCACATTTCAACCAAGGGACAGCGGGCGTGG